AGGAAGGGTTTAGGGGTTAAGGGTCATAGTCGGGTGAAAACAGAGAAGGTTTTGAGGGTAAAAGAATGGAAAGTCCTACCTCGTCGTCTTGGAATCAGTAAATCACGTTTGCATTAAGACAGAGGGTTTAGGGTTTAGGGCTTAGACGGAAACAATGCAAATTATGTTATAGAGTTATAGAGACTTTAAAGGGCTCATAACAGAAAGCTCTTGCATAATCATATCTAGCCAACAACTTCAAAGTTGAGAGGAGCAGATCTGGGATCAGACAGATTGGCAGGCAGAGTTAGTACAGGCCAGATTAGGCAAGGGTGAGAAGGGGTATATCCTTCCTCGGGGAAGTAATCAATGCCGTCCTCTCGGGCCTCTCAACCATAATGGGGAGGAGCGTGGGTGAGTCTTTTATTTATTCCATTTTGACTTGCCGGGCGAATAGGAACCGGACTGTCGCTCCCCAGAATGGTAGGACCCAGAACCGTGAGGTTCTGTTATTTAAAAAAAAAAAAAAAAAGAGAGAGAGAGAACTTTATGCTTTCAGGCAAGCTTTAGACCACTGGCGACATTACTTGCTTGGGAGGCACTTCAAGGTGTACTCACACCACGAGACACTTCAGTGGTTGAAGACACAGGCCAGGATGACACCTAAGCTGACTAGATGGGCCGATGAGATAGATCACTTTGACTTCGAGCTCAAGCCCGTCAAGGGGAAGTATAACGTAGTCGCAGACGCTCTGAGTAGGAGAGCTGACTACTTTGGAGCGATAGTACGTTATCTGGGCGTGAGGAGAGACCTGCAGCAGAAGATTAGAGATGCGTATGCGCAGGACCCTATCTATAGTGACCTCCTCAAGAGAGTTAAGGAGGCCCCAGAGACAGAGCCCGACTACCGCACTATAGACAGGTTACTGTTTAAGAAGACTAATGTAGTGGATAGATTGTACATTCCCAACAATGAGGAGATCCATAGTCTGATCTTAGGGAAATGTCACGATACAACGGGACATTTTGGTTGGCAAAAGACATTAGCCAACCTAGTTAGTGCTTATACGTGGCCTGGTATGAAGGTTGACTGCATAGGGTATGTGTGCAGTTGTAAAGTATGCTAGAGAAATAAGACCACGACGCGAGCCCCTCTAGGTCTTCTGTGACCCTTGCCTATTCCCACTGGACCCGGAGAGTCTGTCTCCATAGATTTCATGGATGTTGGAGTCCGGAGTAGGCATGGCAAGAGCGAAGTCATGGTTATAGTTGATAGATTTAGTGAGTATGCAGTTTTTGTCCCTTTTTACTGATCTAGTTCTTTGATCATTGGGTCAGTGAAAATGGTCTACTGTTGTCGATAGTCAGTGACAGAGAGACCAGGTTCACTAGTTAGAACTGGCAGGAACTTGTGAAAGTATATGGTTCTAAGTTGTTGATGTCGTCTGGCCGCCATCCAGAGACTAACGGTCAGACTGAGCAGATGAACAAGATCCTGCAACAAGTTCTTAGAATGTATATTAGACCTGATCAGGTTAACTGGGACGAGATGCTCCCAAAGGTAGCCAGTGCTTACAATAACAGTGTTCATCGAGCCACGTGTCGCACTCCCAACGAGTTACACAAGTCCTTTAAACCCAGCAGACCGTTTGAGGGACTAAACCGGGACCAGATTCAGAGGCTACCGCCCGGTACTAGGAAATTTGCACTACAACATGAGAAAGAGATTACTAAAGTGGTAGAGAACCTCAGGAGGCCCAACATAGAATGATAGAGCAAGCTAATAAGCATCGTTGCCCATCGTAGTTCCAAGTAGGTGACTTAGTCTGGGTCAAGTCCAAAGAATTTGCTCTTGAGGAGAACATCCCGCAGAAACTGCTGCCCATGTATGGAGGACCGTGGCCAGTCCTAGAAGTCAAGGGCGAGACGATGGACCGTCCTATACGATAGAGATTCCAGCACACCTCCATACATACCCAGTTTTCCATGCGTCAAAGTTGTTACCTTGCACGATGAGTCAGCAATTTCCATCGAGAAGATCAATGATCCCTTCAGATATGGATGGAAGGTATGACATTGACCACATAGTAGATAAAGATGTGTTCATGACAGGAGGTAGAGGTCATCCACAGAAACAGTACAAAGTCAGATTTTCCTACCAAGAGCTGGAGGACGATCACCGGTTTACGAGAACTGAACTTCTGGAGACTGCTCCAGACACAGTTTGTGACTACGAGAGAGCAAAGAAAGGTAAAGGTCCTGCGATAGATTGAGTTAGTCTCAGAGGACCTCGAATTTAGGCCGACGGGAGTGAAACGGTTTCACTTGTCGCACGACAGTTTGCAGCACCCAGGGCTCGATCCCTAGACCTTCCCCCTTACCCGTGTACAGTACCAGTTGACCCGTGTGTGTTTGGACCCGCGACCTGTATTCTGAAAGTCGTCTGTTTGGTTGCTGTAGGTAGTGCGGTCGTCGGGTCTTGAACCGTAGGTCTGTAGATCAGAGGTCTTAGCAGTGGTAGGAGCCGTAGCTGCTACAGTGTTGAAAGGTCGATGTCGTAGCTGCTACAGTACTGAAGGGTGAAGTCCACAGTCTTCCGGAAGATCTGGAACTGGCCCTTCGTGAGTCCTAGGATGCAGTCTGTAGGCAAGTGGTCAAGTGGGCAGTCCTACCTAGTCCAGTCAGCGGTACCCAGTCCCAGTCGCATTTTGTCAAGTCAGCCAGTACCATGTTGGACTGTGTGCACCCCGGGCCCGACGTTCAAGGGCAGACCTTGACAATCCGAAGTATAAATAAAGAGGCAGCGATCAGTCATACATTCATTCTGCCTGTGAGCCGTGCGGAAGCGCTGTTGGAGCGTCTTGTGTACGAAGGTAAGCAGGTGCCCGTTGACGAAGAGGGCTAAGAGGAGGAAGATCGGCCATAGCCGATAGTTAGTTAGTACAGGAAAGAGACGGCGGCCATAGCCGCCACGTCAGCAAGATTAGAGTGTTAGTGTGTGGGTGTGTACATGCATGTGTGGGGGACATCCAGGGAGATCCAGGGTGTGTGTATGAACAAGTTGCTGAGATTGCAGTGTTCGGGCATAGCCGATTGAGACAAGTTTGAATCTGAACTGTGTTCTTGTCTTCGTTATGCAGTAACCCTGTTCAGAAGTAGCCTGGGGCCCAGAACTCAGCCCCAGGCAACGCAGACCTGAGTTGGTCTGCGGTGGGCTGTGTGACCAAGACACGCCCAGGCCTGAGTCTGTCACGTTTGGCTGTGTGACCTAACACTGCACACAGGAAATTCAAAAGTCAAAGTCAACTGTAGAGTCAAAGGTACCGCACCCAGGCCCTTGGTTGGATACACTCACTTGTTGTGCGCAGGTACCCAGACAAGCATCCAGGAAGGAGGGAATTCGGTTTCAGACCAATCTTAGTTTGCATCGAGATCTGGACGGCTGAGGATTGTAGCATCCGGGGCCCAGACCCCGAGTCAACGCTACATAAGCGCTGACTTTCCTGGCTTTGACATTCATTCAGTTTTGCGTCAATGCTGACTTCACGCATTGACGATGCGACGCTGGCTCGACGCTGCGACGTTGGCGAACGCTGGCTTTGTGCTGGCACTTGAAAGATTGCGGCGACGCGCTGCTGGCTCGGCCTGGTGGCTGGCTGGCTATTGTCTTCAAGGCATGCTGACGTGGCAGCTGCCACGCGTTGTGACGTGGCTGCTGCCACGTGTTCTATTGGCTGACGTGGCCGGACTACGAGACTGGTACTGCTGTTCTGATTCATCGTCACTCAGGAGGAGATCATGACTGTGGGGTAATCGTGGATACATACCTTGTCATCTTGAGGTCGACATTGCTCCAGTGCGCTGATGAGGACTTATTGACGTGCCACGTGGCACATTGTAGTAGAACCTTAGATGTGTGTTCAGACTACTGATTATCTGAGGTTGTGATCGAGGAGGGAGCCCAGAGCAGGAGTGGGCTTTGTTATTGTTTCCTCTCCTTTGTCTAATCTCCCTCCTCTCTCTTTCGTCTGTGTATGATTATCTCATCTCATTCTATCTGGACACGATTTTGACTATTGGTAATCATCAGCAGTTTGATATCCTGGGCTTGCATTGTTGACAAGTGTCTTCACGATCTGGGTTCATTTCAGTTATCTCTGAGATTTGTGTGGGTGCAAGTCGCCAGCTTGATTGTCATCTGTTTGTACGCACGCTGAAGGCGAAGAGGTCGAGTCTGATTGCACAACGGTTTTTAGTTATTTATTTCCTTTTTAATTGAGTGCAAGTCCGCAAAGTTCCCTATTTTTGTGGTTGAGCCGGACACGCTCAGAACTCGAGTCATTACGGGTGGGCCACACTGGTGCTCTGTTCATTCTAAGAACCATAACCTGTTTGTAAGACTGACCACATTCATGTTTTCTTGGCATGAAGATAGCACAAGTGGGGCCAACCCCTTACAGTTATGGTGGTTTACATGCCTGGTCCTAGCACTTATTTCCACTAGAAAACAGCAACCAAAGGATAATATGGGCCCCGATTCACTGTTCATATGGCCAATCATACCCGTATATTCACAGTCAGTTGGGATTTTTCTTGGCCGTCTGGTCTGTGGAGGTAGGTCCATGGCGGTTTCTGGCTGTCACACCCAAACAGATAGAAATGTTGGAAGCAAAAACAGACTTCTGCCGGCAAAAACAAGCTTATATTGAGAAAACAGCCTTCTGCATGGATCTGTAACGTCTGGTTGTCTTGGAGGCATTAAAAAACCATAGGTCGGAATATGATATGAGCATATGATCATGCGGGTGCATCGGCCCTATTGTTGCATTCACTAGATACTATCTACTTTGATCATTGAATCATTCCCTCAAAACAAACTTGAAACATTCCTGGTGGGTCTCCCATTTTGGGTTCTCTCTAACCCCACACAGCTGGAGGCTCCGGAGACTGGTGTCCAGACCCACACATCTAACCTGTCTGCATCCTCGTCTGGATGATTGGATCCTAACCGTGCTCTATACCCTTGAGAATTAGAAGGAGAAGGAAAATCAACAGATAAAGTTCACTGGGGAAGAGTTTGCCAATGAGCACCTTGACATCTCTGGTGGGACCTCTCACAGTCACGAAGTCCAGCTCTAAGATCCCCTTCAATGGCATTTTCTGAGGCCACCTCATGATGAGCTGAAACAGACGACAAAGCACCCACAATCTGTCAAAACCAAAACATTTGGGCAGAAAAGACTGGCAAAGCGAATGACAAACTGGGACATAGATGGGGAGTCATGCACACTGCACAGAGGCAGATTTACAAAGGAACACAGGTTCAAAACTCTATCCCGAGGCCAGCTTCTCACTTTCTTTATCCACTCTCTCTCCCCATTCTCTCTCTCTCTCTCTCTCTCTCTCTCTCTCTCTCTCTCTCTCTCTCTCTCTCTCTCTCTCTCTCTCTCTCTCTC